AAACTTTTGGTGTGCCTCTTTTCTCTCCTTGCTTGGGTGGTTCTTTCCTTGTGTTTAAACTCCTGGGTTTCAGGCAGGTTTCGAGTTCTTAAGCCTTTTGTTTCCCTTTCCGTTTCTTTCTCCTTTCTTGAGACTCAGTGCCAACAGTAGCTCCAGCTAACCCAGGGCCACTCTAACCATTGTCAATAGTAGATGCTGTTTTCATTTATTTTTGCACATCAGCCCCATTGCTAACACTGCTAGCATATTTAAAAATACAATTGTTTTCCTATTTCATAGTGAACCAGTGAACAGATTTGGTGAGTAGAAAGTGAACAGAAACCACATCCCCCTCCAGGTAGTTGTTTTTAGTTTGATCAACTTAAAGTCAGGGAAAAAAAAATAAGACAAACAGTTTTATATTGGGGATTTATTTTGACAGTGGAGAAGCAATGGGAAGAACTGGGCTCCAAGATTTTTCTTGAAAGACAAATCCCGCCAAGGAGCAGACAACTTGATAGCATTTCATTGTCCCCTAGGACAAAACATGAAAACTTTTGAGGAGGAAGTTCCATCCTCATCCTGTCAAGGCTTTCTCACCCTTACCCAGGCTTGCACTGCAATATTATCAGAACAAGGGCCTTTTTTCCCACATGCACCGGATTCATGTTCTTCACGCTTCCATGTTTTTTCCCATACTGTGTGTTTGCCACCTAATCCGTGTGAATACATTTCCTCAGTGTTTGTACATTAAGCCAACGATGATCTACCTTCTCTGTCATGGTGTAAAGTTCTTATTAATTTAAATGATTTCTACTGCCTCTTCTTATTCTTCTCCCTCAAACTCAGCTTGAAAATCAGCACTTAACTGCCCGTGTGTTAGAGGTAAATGCTTCACAGACACACAGAGGAAGCACGCCAGATGCCTCTTCACCACGCCTGTCTGTGATCGCTTTTCACCACCCCACTTTTTCACCAGGCAGTGGCTCCAGCCCACCACCACCACCTGATGATCTGGAGTCTTCCTGCCTGCCTTCAGCCCAGGGCCTTTGTTTATATACACATCCTTTCCTAGCCATGAACAGCCTTATACACAGCCATGCCACAGGCTCTCTCAGGACAGACTCTTCCCTGAGCGAGCACTCCTCCCAATCTGAGAGTGAGTCCTCCACAGCCCTTCTGGCTGAACTTCAGCTGGGAAACTCTGACACTACTGACTGCTCTGAGACACCATCCCCAACTTGGGGTCAGAGATCTGCTGTGACAGATGGCATCACCTTAGCGACCCCTGCTGCCACACATGTAATTGTTCTTCTTTCCTTTGCCTCTGCCATTTTTTAAGGACTGCACTTGTTTGCTACATTGTTTGAACATTTTTATTTGCATAGGTTTTGATTAGTGAACCGACTCTATACCATCTGCTAGGGGAAGCTATCAGAGTCATCCTCATTAAGCCCACTTGGTGCTAAAATTTTTACTGGTATTCCCTTCTTTTTTTTTTTTTTTTTTTTTTTTTTTTTTT